ATGTGTTATATCAAAAAAGTTACAGAGACCCTTGTTTTTCAACCAGTCCTGATGGTAGCCAATCAATCATTCTCATTACTAACACCACGTTGATTGGATGAATCCTTGTTCGACAAGAACCGTGTCTGTTCTATTCCACTGAGACTCCTACATTTTAGTAATCACTGTAGTACTTGAATACTTTATTTTAATGCATTAGGCAACATGACAAAAATATCATGTGTTTTGTTCCAGCCCCCCAGAGTGAGCAAATGCACATTAGGATTTTTTTCCCCAGGATTTATTCTCTGCCATGCATACACAGTTAGGTGTTTCTAGAGGATTGAATGAAGTGCCCTGTACTTGGTGTAGGGGACAGTGAGGGTTTGTTTTTTTTCTCCCCACCCCCCTAAGCTGGTCCTGAGTTTTCAAAAAGGCATTTGGACAACTCTCAAGAAAGTTCCATTTCCCCAACCCTTGTAATGGGGTTGGGGAAACAGAACAAGCAGTCAGATAACATGCAAATCTGTTTCAGGACTGGCTTTTCAGAGTTAAGTTGCACTTTACCATTACTGGATTTATAACTTAATATTATCCTTTACAGTATTACTTGATGAAAAGTGTTACTTGGGACACTTATGGCTATAATGGAAAGATCTCTAGATATTTTTGTTAATACATTGTGAATGTTTTAAACAATACATATATTGACTTCACATTTAAATGAACATCAACTTTTATTGACCCTTGAGGTTAATATTAACCTCAGTTTTGACTTAATCTATAATTTTACCACTTGGTTCAATCAAACTTGATGTTCATCTCAACAGAATTCAAACCTGCTTGATATGCAAGACAGTTATTTTACTAAGTCACATTTCTCTTAACAGATTTCAAATTTATTTTTAAAAGTTGTGGGTAGGCAGAAAATTATTTACCAAGTCTGGACTGATGTACTTTACCTCACCAAAAATATATTATGAGGCTGTAGAAAATAAAAGTCAAACAATTTTGCATAAGAGTAGTCAGTCCCATACCATTGGCTTGGGAAGCATGTAATTTGTCATGAATTAAATATGGGATTCAAGAGCAAGTGCATGAGATTTCAGGGATGTAAAAAAAGTGTCTGTGTGCTCTTACAGATTTAAAAACCTAAAAATCTTTTATTTTAAATCTGCAAGGAATTTTTAGTCTTATTAAAATTCATGTCTATAAAATGTTGAGATTTCACAATCTAGAAAGATACAGGAGGTAGTGTAACATTTTATACAGCTAGAGAAAAAAATCATTCAGAGTATCCCTTAGGAAAACTAAGGATGTGGAGTCACAAAGCTGCCAGAGGTTAAAGTGTCTTCTTTGGGAATGTAAGCAAATAGTCTTTCCACCCTTTCTATCAAGCAGATAGCTCACAAAAGTACAGTTTGCCAACTTCACACTGCAGCTGTTTGTTATGGCAAAATCCTCTTGTTAGATTTGCACACGCTGTTAATCTCCAGAAGTGACTAAGCAAAGTCTGCTGTGGACTGACGTGCCTTATGGTCTCTTTTTACCCTGCATTTTTATGCCTCCTGTGATTTAGTTGGTGGACTTGCAAAAGCTGGTTCAATTTAGCTGAAAAGGGGTGTGCACTCATTAAGTTTTATTCTTTGTTTTACAGTAGCACCTAGAGGTCCTGTCTGAAATAGGGAGCTAGATGTTTTACAAGCACAAAGATAGCCCCCTCCTCAGTTTATAGTCTCATTTTTTAACTTGTTTATTTAGAAAAAAACCCAACTGGCATTATCATCCCCATTTTACAGATGTGGAATGGAGGAACAAGAGGCTATGCAGCTTGCTCGAGGTCACCCAGAAAGTTGTAGGATTTTCCTACTCTAAATCTATCGCTCTTTTTACTGTGAAAACTACTCTGTTTAGCCTTCTTTAATATACAGCCAAAAGGATGCATTTAACATCTGTAAAAAGATGAGGCGTCAGGTTATCTGCTTTCTACATTCATCCCTTTTGATAAAACTTTACTGAAATTGTTCTATGCAGAGAAATAATCATATACCTTTCTCAGTTCACCTACATATAAATTTATTTCTGAACTTTTGAAATGTCTTCCCATGAATCCAAAGTACATATTTAATATTCCTCATTTTAAAAACAAACAAACAAACAAACAAACAAACAAAAAACTAAACAAACAATGCAGCAGAAGCAGTCACAGGGCACATCCAGATGAGCACAGACTTTTGTTTCCCTGGGGACAAGTAGCAGCACCTAGTGCCACGGCTACTTGTCCCTGGGGACACCTGTGCCATGTGTGATCTGGCATACGATAGGTTGCCCTGGTAGAGCAGGGGAAGCTGGGGCCAGCAACTGCACCCAGTCTTAACCGAGGTCCTGGGGGCCTCCCAGGGCTGTAACCATGGCAGGAAGTCTGGCCAGGAGCTAGAGCGTGGCCCCAGCCAGCCAGGCTCTGGTTTGGGGTGGTGCATGCTGCTGTCATGTGTACAGCCCTGGTTTTGTTTTGTTTTTTGGCATGGGTTTCGTTGATCCCAGGATCTCCTGGGGTCAACCCTGCCCCCTGTTGCAGGGTAGCAGCGCAGGGAATACCTGCATTGTGGTGTGTAGCATCACAGACAGGTCTGTAGCATCACATACAGACAGGTGTGGATATGCAGGACACAGCCAGTGTCAATATCGATCAAGCCAAGACAATCCAAGTGTTTCAAGAACAAGAAGTAAATTTCGTCATTATGACCAAGAAGAAAATATCATCTTTTATTGAAGATGCAATAAAGCAGCTCCTTGGATATCGCAATCTGTACATAGAAAAGTTTGTTTGTTTTTGGGGAAGAGAAGAAAGAGCGAGCCTAAATAGCTTTAAAACTCAAAATGCATTGACCTATCAGCTCTTCAGTAGACCAAAACAGATTATACCCAATGTTTTCAAATCCAAGTATCCAAAACATTTAAAGGAGCAAACTAAGACATCAAGTAACCCACTCACACTAGATTCACTTGAATAGGCAATAGTCCAAAATTTATATCTAGTTTATTTATATCAGCTTTGATGGAGGAAAGCTAATTCTCTCTGGGGAAGAAGAAAAAGTATATCAAGCCAGTTACGTAAATGCCTAAATGTAACAGAAACAAACTATGGATAAGTTTTGAACTGTACCATTCTCTGCTATCATCTTGGGCTTTTGTTGCCTGTTATGAACATTGTTTACAATAGCAAAACACATAAACGTGATCCAGAATGTGGAAGTACACTACTAGCACATGAAGAAAGCACAAAAGCAGCCCTCTGCATTTGGAAGCCAGATCACTGGTAAATGTCCTATCATTCTGCCCAGGTTTGACTGATCAGCAACTCTGAAGTTTAGCAAAGCATTGTCCAGACAGAAGAAATTTTCTTTTGCGTAAATGTGCAATTCAAGGGCAAAGACATTGCTAGATACTTAAAAAAAAACCCCCCCCCCCCCCCCAAAAGCCGCACACCATGTTAAGTAAAATAATCCAAGAGTCGTCTTTAAAGTAGGCATCAGCAATTTGGTGATTAAGATAATCTTGAGTAGGGTTTTTATTACAGATAAGCAAAAGAGAGAAGGGGACAGGGAGAGAGAGAGAGAGAGAGAGAGAGAGAGGAGAAAAATTAAGGAGAGGGAAGCATTTAGCATTAGATTTACTGCCGTATTTAAAAATGCAGGAAATAAAAGACTCAAATGTCCTTTGCTGTTTAGAAAGCTTTGAGAAAAGTTTATTTTAGGTCGCTTTTTACAGGACCTTAAGAGAGAAATGCAAACTGTTATTACTATGAAAGTTATTTGCTTAAAAGAGAGACAGGGAATGGAGAAGAGGAAAGTAATGCTCAATAAGCCTATTCATACTAGAAGCAGGAAATGTGTAAAGATTTCTCTCACTTTTGTAACAAATATATCTGTCCTCATTCTCATGTATCACAATTTTGTGGAACTGCATATAAAATAATTCTGTAGCACAAGTTAAATTCTAAGTAGCACCAAGTGTTTTAAATCTGTTGAAATCAGCTGCTAGATTCAAACACTAATGATAAGCAAGGTATGACAATTCTATAATTAAAAAGAGGAGACTTTCCTCCAGTTAACACTGCCATGGATTTTTGACGCTTGGAACAAGTTGCCCCTACAAGAGAAAATATTATCATCTCACTGTTCAGTGTGTTACGTTCCTCTAATCTGCATAAAACATGATCCCAATATAGTCATCAGCTATACAAAGCATCCCCCCAGTGGTATAAATATTAGACTTTAAACCTGTTACTGATCTAATAGTTAATAACCCAATAATCAAGTAAAGCTCCTTCTGGATCTCAGCGCAATACAAGCAGTGTAGGG